TTATGGGACTATTTATGGTTTCTTCTTGCATTCTTTTTCATGCGCTAAATTTTTCGTGATTTCTGTTGTCCTGGTTTCTAATTGCGGAATATATCTGGTACAGATACTTATTTTCCTATCGAATCTTGCAGGGTTAGTTTTACGTGTAAGCAACAGATTCAATTGCCTGGGCGCATGTTTCTGAATCTAAGTGGCGAAAATGTTCTGAAAAAATTGGTTTTAGTTTCTCTCTTGAAGCACTGATCATAAACGTGGTACAGCACTATAGTACACCTTATGAGCCAGAAATCGCAATAAAACTTTGATGACCCAGACTTCGGGAATAACTATCCCTCGATCACGAATTGATAAAATAAAAAGAAACTGCTCATATACTATACTGCTTTTCTTCAAACTTTTCAAACTGAGTAAATTATAATCATCAGCGCAAGCATCGGGATAATTATTAAAATCCTACCGCCCGTCAGAATTTAATGCGTCTGACTATTTAAGAACTCAGTGAGTGTTTCCATATTTACTTCAGGGTGCGCAACTTTTTATTAATTTTGTTTCACATGAAAGCCAATTTATCTTCTTTTTCTGTGAAACTTGTGTAATCGAGAAAAAACACCGAGATATTCGCCTGGATATTCAAGGATACGCCTTTTTCAACGTCGATACGGTCAGGGTACAATTATTCATGAACACCAACAGGATAAATGTAAAACAGATCAGAAATAAACCGAACAAGAACCCTAGGAGCTATTTTTACCTTCAACTTAATAGAAATCGCTCGTATTGTTGTGCCATCAGCATTTCTGGAGAATTCTAAAAAAAAAGTCGGTTGCCGAGGAAAAAATGACGATCTTTAGGTAATACACCAACGAATTTCGGGTTTAAAAAAAATGTTTCCGCCACCAATTCGACATGATTGAAAATTCGCTTCCAAGAAAATTTAGCTCGCCGGTTCGCTGAACACAAAATTCAGAAGCTATTGAAAATACTGTACTTCCAAGATGATACTCATGGAGGAAAAGTTGGAAACGAGGCATTTCCGAACCCCAGTGAAATACCTTCTCCTCTCCAATGGTACTCGACATGATCTACTTTTCCAACATTTCACGAGACCTCCAGAGTCAACATGCCTTGGGTACACGTACTCCCAAGAACCCAGACAGGCGATTTCAGTTTGCCGTGGTTCGCTGAACGGAAAGCATCACGAAAATGGCATTACGTCTCATCTCAGTAATTTATATGTTTGCCGTAATCCAGGGATCTTTCAGCTTTAATTTCTTCGGATTTAAAAGAGAAGATAATTCCATCCTAGCTGATGATGAGATTGCAGAGGACATCACTACTATTTCATCATTGACAAACACAACCGAACTCCCAGTGACAGCAACTACGCGACGAGGAAAGCTTCGTAAGCAGAATTAAAACCCAACTGATGTCAAAAATTGAAAAGGGGTGATGCAGAAAATGTATTTTTCCTTTATTGCAGTGCCATTTTTGCCATTCCTCAGCGTTGTAGACTTTACTAATGCAGCATGTCGAGCTGCAGGAGATTCTCCTCGTTTGGGAACGTGTCATACGAAGAAAGACTGCATGAAACTTGGCGGAAAAATGAGTGGAACTTGTGCATACGGTTATGGCGTGTGCTGTGTTGGTATGGAAATGCAAATTATAAATTTCTACAGTGAATTTTGCATTCCAACACGGCTCTTTATTTTTTATAGCCGCCAGGACTTGTGGGGAAACAAGTTACTTGAATAACACATACTTCATTAGTCCTGAACCCGGAACCAACGTCAATTTTCAACAGAATAGCGGACAACCCAGCATTCGGCAGTGCCAAATGACTGTCAAGAAATTCCGTCCAGATATTTGTCAGGTGATCACTCGATTTTATTTAATTCGAACAGAAAGTGGTTCTTGGTATAAGAAATTGGATTTCTGGGGGGAAATATTCATCTCTCATTTTTCCATCACGTTACCGCTTTAAAAACGGATTTGTCCAGGTAGTCAAAATTCTGTCAAACTTCGAGGTCCTAGCAAAAATTCGATCTTAAGTTTTTAGTTAGGGAAACAAGCATATTTTGTTGTGGGAAAGAAAGAATTCCAGGAAATTTTAATTGGATATATTCGTGGCCTTAAATTACCTTTGAAATGAGTTGATAGAATGCTAAAATTGAGAGGCATGGGTTCACCTGCCCTGGTAACCTTTCAGTTGCTCTCAAAACTCGTCGTTATAATTTTTTTCTTTTGTCTTTCCTCGGCCAAAAAAATGAGACCATAAGACTACAGCAAATTTGAGTTAGAAAGGTTTCAGGGGAAAGCCTTCAAGTTAGGGAGGTTTGCAATATATTGTTTCCTAGGGAATTCCGACAGGGACTCGGAAAAAAGTTCCAAACACGAAGTTATTAGACTCGAAGGGGGTTCCAGTTACAGTATTGAGGTCTGACTGTAATATAACGCACGCAAATGAGACTTCAATAGACGAATCATTCCGGCTGGAGTTACGTGTACAGTATTGAAAAATATTCAACTTGTGCATGTAGAGTATTTCGAATATCATTTTTCTTTTAATTCGTTTTCAAGTAATATGAAAAGGGATTTTTGCATTAGAAATCAGAAACTTGGCTCCCATCAGATCACTTCTGCAACCAGTCATAACACGATTTCGATCAATGGTTAACCTGGTTCGCTTTTTTCATCAGTTCATCCAAATAAAATTTGCGAGACGCGTAAGATTTTGAATCTTAACACCTTCCGAAGAAACTAGTTCTGTTCAGTATCCAGATCAATAAAATTTAGGGGAAAAATAAGAAACTCTGATGGCAGATCTATGTTACAGTGCTTTCGGGGGTACTAACCTGAATATTTTCTAGATGAAACTGGAATTTGAAGCCTTCCAAATGAGTCCACCAGACCTCATCACTCAGGGCAGAGTTGGAGACTGCACCAATGACATGTTCGTTGCAGTGGCAGGGTCCCAATCATCACCAGTAATTTGCGGCTCAAACCCAGGACAGCACAGTGAGTTTTCACAGCTCTTACACAAGCCTAGTCCATATTTCAGGGATCCGCTGATCTGACTTCGCTTTTTTTTATTGCAGTGTACATAAACCTGGGATCCGGAACAGATTCTTTGCAACTGACGGCCGTTATGTCCTCCATTTCGCCACGGTGGTCCATCCGAGTAATACAGATACCTTGTGAATCCAACTATTTGGGTCAGTTCAGAAATTCAAAACAAAATTGCTGATTCATCTGTTTCTAGAGGGTTCTTTCCTTCTGCAGCTCCCCCAGGATGCTTGCAATACCACACAGGCGTGTCTGGATACGTGAAGAGCTTCAATTTCGATGGAAGAGATCATCACCTCAATAATCAGCGGTATTCCATTTGTGTTCGGGGAGAAGAAGGCTTTTGTGGCATCACCTGGGAGCAAGCGAGAGATTTTACCGGGATTTCATCCATAATTGGCACAGGAGGAAATCTCGCTGCTCAAGGACCTACAACTTTCCAGATCAGTTCTGTTGGTGCAGCTGGAACAGGAGGAACACAATCATTTATTGTTGGTGAGTTTGTGGGTGACTACTTTTCCAAATGAGCACAGCTTATTAATCCCAAAATTGGTCGTCAGATTTTTCAAGAATTTTTAGCCAATACCACATCCTTAGATTTTGCTTCTAACCTCGATTTTTTCAATTAATCGCTGAAGTTGTGTGCAGTGAAGTTCTACAATATCCGGAAAATGATGCAAATTCATTAAATGCATCCAAGTTTTATTCTAGTACTGCTATTCATTAATATTCTAGTATTCCGTGATTCAGAAGTATAAAATTTCTCGCTTCACCCACCCTACAATTTGGCGATATTTTACATTGAGATACCGCAGATTTTCGGCACAATTCATTGATGCACGAATAATCAAAAACTAATACCGTACTTAGGAGTACTTAATTCGTCACAGGCTATAAATAAGGCAACCTTCAATCATAATTGAAATGTCATAAGTATAGGGTAGATTCATAGGTTTTGTCCATCTTACGCAGCAGACTGGTCAGAAGTTCAATACCATGCTCGGGCAAACGTTTCTCAAATTTTTAGATTTTTAATTTTAACTTCAATTCTCAACATTTTTCAACCTGCAAAATTGAAATTCGTAAAACTTTAATTAGCTTCCCAATTTCCAATGCTTCAGAAATTGAAATATTTACAGGAAGCGATGCGTCGTCAAGCGCCGGGCAATCTCTATGCAGCGGAAACACGGCTCAGAGGGACTTCGTTGGAATTGCATGCGGCTCACGAAACGGACGAGCATTTAGCGATCAGTCCCTCACCGGCACTGGGCAGCAAATTCCAGATCCCCCAGTGTGCGCAGATAAATTTTGCGGAACTCTTTTCGGTTACGCCAGCGGCGCTACTGCGCCACAACCAATCACAAGTACAAGGAACATTCAAATTTAACCCAATGAAGCTTCAAGGGAATGAAAAATAAAACTGTCATCTCCTGTCCAGGTCTGATACGGCCCTTCAACATGTACGTCCACTTTGACGACAGTGAAGCCTTGATTACTCAGGGTTCAACCACAACAGGAAATATCTATGAACCGGGTGTTGGTTTCAACTTGCTGTACACTTTGAGGTCTTGCGCAACTACAGGATCATCACTCGGAAGGTAAGATTTTAGTCTCGAAAAATGTAGAACAGTTCCGCAAAATTTCCTTTTTCGTAGGACACTAGACTCAGTGACACGCCAACGGATCGGAAATCTTTCAAGATTCCTGGATATGTGGACTTCTTCCGACATATTGTAAGAAAAAAACGCACATTCAATGAACTAAAAAATGAAGTACAGTATTAAATTTTTTCGCTCTGTGAAAATGCTTTCATTTTCCTGGAGAGTTATGAAAAGCACAGCAAAACTGGCTCAAAGCCTCACAGCGCTTGAAGATCACCCTCCGAATTTCAAGCCGAATACCCCTCGATCAATTATATCCCTCTGATTAAACTTCCCCCGCGAACCGGAATTTTTCAAACATTTGGACAATTTGGCAAAATGAATTTAACTGACAGCGATTTACCAGCACTAAAAAGAAACGCAAATTCAACGAAAAATACATAACACGCTCAAGAGATCGATAACAAGTTACCCAATTCACGGAAACAGCGCTGCAACAAAATTCCGACGGAACCTCAAGTGACTGATCAGGCAATCAACGCGATCAAGCATTCATCAATGCTCCGTAACGAAACAAGCCTAGAAAATTTTGTTTTCCGCAGAAATATCCGAAAATTTCGAAACGCGACGAGAAATTAAACGAAAACGGCAAGAAACTTTCCTGAGTGAATTTCTACGGTAGGGCGAATTGTTGAGCGATCTCGTCTCCGGCTTCACGCCCACACCTTTGACGGGTCTGGCAGTTCATTTGGGTCCGGTGGGGTCACAGGAGCTGGACACGCAGGCAATTCCAAATACCAACCACGCTCACCTTCAGTTCGAATCGTTTCTTCCAACACACGGGATCCATCCCAGTTCTTTTTCCACTTGAGAGAAAGAAAACAAATTTAAATAAGATTACAATATTTCAAACTTAAATTATCTGAACGGTTTTTTCTCCTCAGACATGAACTACACTCGCGAGCAAAGGTAATAAATCCTTGAAGCCATACACGAAATCATGTACAGTACTGTCTGTACAAGGCATCAGCCAAACACGCATGTTTTAGGTTTTCCTCAAAAAAATTTCAGGAACCACATCACTTCCGGTTCTGGATTAGAAAATCTAGTCGAAAAACGCAAATTTTGGTAGTAACCAGTTTAACGTACAACTCGGGGTATGAATTGGTTCGGATAATCGAGCTCTTTAAAAATCATCAATAACGAAATTTCGACGATGTTTTAAAACGACTCACGATCTTTATGCTTTCGAAATTCATGCTCGTGACTTCGGCGGCAGCGTAGTGTCCATCATTTTTTCGCGGAGATTGGCTGAACACCATTTGCGGAAAATTGAGTCGACGAGTGACGGGCCTCGAATCATCGGATATGGCATCGGTACACGCTCGTCTATAGGCTTTGTTCAAAACCTTTCCATTTCGCGAACGGTATCCATTCTCCGCGCCATTGTTGCTGCCAGTGGACGAATCCGAGCCGTTTGACACACGTCGCGGTGATTCTGTCCACAATAAATACCAACCATACATTATTCAAATATTGTAAGTAAAAATACGCGATAAGAGAAAAAAAATAATCATCTGCACACACTCAGATAAGATCAACGCTTCCCCGAGGGATATTTTCATCAGCCGAAGATCAGGAGCCAGAACCTAAGCTCTGTCTCAACTGCGTCTTCATATGGCTTCGAACTCGGCCTTAAATTAGTCATCATCGTGTTACAGCATAAGTTTTACACTAAGTAGATAATGAAACTGCCTTGAAGGGATTAGCGCTGTTCAGTTTCTAGCAAGTGGATCCACCGTTCGAAGACCCACACAGAATCTTCCACTCGCACTAAAATTCTTCCCTTCATGACATTTCAATAACCATGTTATGTAAAAATCGATCCAACGAAAGATGAGAACTACGAAGCATTACCTAGAAGCTCCCGATTAAGGCAGATGCACCGACACTGTCCACGTCCTTTGAAGAACACGTATTCCGGAATGGCATGCAATAGGCTGCTCAAGGACGCATGACCATAAGACGACGGAGAGCAGCTCGAGCCAAATTTCTTGGCATACAACCGTTCAAAATTCGAGATTAGAATACGACCCTGATTTTCGCGGATCAACGCTTGCACATTCCGGCCAAATTTTTGCAACGGTGTCAACTCAATAGTTCCGTTAGTGGCATCCCCTAAAACCTGGAAGCGAAGGAATTGCAAGAAAGTTATAAATATTTTTCATTTCCGTTTCTAGTTTATTAGGTTTAAAAGTGCGTCAACTTCTGATTGAAAGATGCCAGCAATCAATTCTGGTCCTATTCGACAGCACTTCGTTCAGAGTTTCTACATTAACTCGACGTGACCTAATTGAATCAATCTTGACTCCTTCAAGGGGATGTTTCGAGCTAATCCGTTTTCCGGAAGAGTTGCGAGTTGCTTCGTTCCACTTACCATTTTATAACATTGAACACCGAATTGAAAACGCGCCTTTTCGGAACCTACTTTTCGGCACGTAATCCGCTGGAGTTCACAGAAAATTCACCTCAACAATGTCGAACAAGTCCCTCCGAATGAGCTCCACCGAACATGGAACATCGAACAGGTTCTGGTACTTCTCCGTAAAGGCGCTGATTTGCATTTCACAATCCGGCTCACGCAGCAAAATGCTTCGCACTCGCAAGCCCAGCTGATGCAACGGCCCACGGTCAATTGAGATTACGATTGGTCCATCACGCGATTCAACGATCTAAAAAAAATTCCGACAAAGCTGTGTTACAAGTACACGATTTCTAGATATGTAATGAAAATCACATGCCTTCAAGTGACGCAAATTTCCAATGACCTCATCAACCGAGCCAGCACCGTAATCCACAGGATCAAGAATGTATCCAAAATTATCTGCAAATCCGTCTGGAATGTCGGCCAACAGAAAACCCCTTCCTTTTGTCATTTTGACCAACTGAAGTATTTGCTCTCCAAGAACTTTTAGTCTCTCCTGTTCAACCAGCCGAATGGTCCGCTCACCAACTTGCGCAAGTAAGTCCTCTTCCGGCTGATCTATAACCTAACGAAACAAATTTAAAAATGAATAACGATTTTTTGAACTTGGCACGTCTGAAGTAGTTTGACTTCAGACTAAAGAACTCGCCTCCACCATGTGCGGAATAGCCTCGAACAACTCGATCAATTTCGAAAATCCGTAGTTTGCCACTCGACACTGCTTCCCGAATAAATGATGATACGCAGGGATGAATTTGTTGAAAGACATTCGACAATGCGGCAAATTCTTCAAAAGCTCTTGAACCTTGACAATATGAATACGTTCTTTATCCAGAATACGCGGGGAAATAAATATTTTCGTACTAACTTCAAAAGCGAACTGCTTCGTTCTTTCCATTTCAACCGGAGTCTGTTCTCTCCTGGGAATCGAAATCATCGTATCGTCGTCTCGTACATCAATCTACAAGTATGAACAAAAAATGCATCCGAATCGCTAAGGGAACAAATCGAGTAACCAACCTGAATAACGGATTCCGGGAGATCAGTCAACAGATCAGCAACGCAGCAAACCCCATAATCAAAAACGTCGAACGCTTTGTGGTTCAGCTTGAAAAACTGATCCGCAAATTCACTCAATGGTAATTGCATGTTTGGCTGTGCCTTCACAATTCGCAGCAACTCGCTCAGAAATCGTCTCACTTGCGCAGCGTGAGTCAGCGTAACAACCCTTCGGAGTCCTTCCCCAATTATTTGAACGACGTGTGGCAAGGCGACAAAAAGATCAATCAGCTTCGTGAATCCATATTCAGACACTCGGCATTGACGTCCAAAATGGTGGTGGTACGCAGGAATGAACTTGTTGAACAACAGCATGCAACGCGGAACAGTGCGAAGTAGATCCACAATCTCACGGGAAAATTTGTACATTTGAGTTTGTAAAGCCTCCGAATTCAGGGTTCCATTCAAATCTGCAAGGCGATCCATAAATAAGCGAGATCCCCAAAAAAGTAACGTATTAGTTGTCTCTACACACACAGATTTCCATCATTTTCTACTAACACTGATCAATTACAGAAGATAATCCGAAGCAGCAATTATTCAATACTGAAAACCGCGATCCAAGTTTTTGACCATTCGTATTAAGAACACCCACTTTTCTCCCCAAAATTGGATAACAGATGGATAACTCACCAAGTGCAACGGGGCGCGGAACTTCGATCAAATTTTGTTTTGCTGCTTCGGGGACACCACCATTTTCTTGCCATTTGAGATGTTTATAACCTCCAGGGAGATTTATCAATTGGATTCCTTGAATACAGGTAACCAAATGTTCCAAGTGAACACCGACAGCAGATCCGGCTTGGATTGAGACACCGAACTGATCTTCATAGCACAGTGGCAAACTGTAAAAAAGAAGTTGTACAAAATTGTTGAGCACCATTTTGTCAGAGCAAAAAAGAACCCTCGCTGGTTTTTTTCTACTATTCTCGCCTATCAGAAGTACTGTAATAGGTTCAGGTATTCAATAAAGCTGAACCTTTGCTATGAACTAATAATCCACTCTATGAACTACAGTACTTCAATACGGGACGGTTTTCAATAACAGCCGAAATGAGGAACAAACCTCGCCAGAGGTAGAACTCCGTCATGGGTTCCTAGCAGTGAATGAACCCTTGGTCCTAAAACTTTCAAGGAAATATTGACATTTGGTAATGGAGGAAGGGTGGTTGCCTTCTCAGCCCACCCAACGGATGAGTCATTCCTACAGAATCCAGGTGGAGTGTGGCGAAGGCAGAAGGCCGTCTGCGGCAGCACCAGGCCCCCACTCAAGTCCCAATCCTAAAAATAAAAAAGATGAATTACAATTCTCAACATCCCAAGACTCACGCAGAGGATTTCGGATTTAACAAAACGAATTTTTCCAGACGCAAAACTTGGTTTGAAATAAAGCTTACCTTCAGAACAGATTTCTCAGTAAGATCATTAGAGGCGAATTTCCGATTCATCCCGTTCAAATAATGTTTGCTGAGCTGTATTTCTCTGCCTGAATTAATTCGTCCTGGACTTGGAAACTCCTTAGGTCTAACAAGACGAACAATCCGTCCCGTCAGGTGGTCCTCCTCAACGCACACGAAGTCAGCCATGTGATTCAAATCGGCTATAGATACAGTACCACCATTGAATCGGTTCTCGAACAGTTCCCTGAACTTGAACAAAGGCAATCGACCTCCTGGAACATCTTGAAGCAAAGCCATGACTTGGGCCCTGGGAAAATTGACCGTCCAAAGAAATATTAAACATTTGAACTTATTCAGATCGTAAGGGGTTCGAACCTCAACACTTCCAGCGGGGGTGCTTCTCTCTGATTAGGATGGGATATGAGAATCCGTTTGTTACCAACTTTCTTGCGTTGCAAATTACTGATGACCAGTTGTTGATCTTGAACAGACTTCAAGCGGACAGTCGCACTGAAGCTACCGTATCCATGATGATGCATAGTCAGATGACACACCTAAAGTAGTTAAGAAAAGAAACGAAATTTCATATAGCAACATGAATACTTGGTGATCGGAATTTTATGAACCCATATCCCTACCAGATGGATGTGTTTTTTCTTAGTTTCGTTTTTCTTCCATATCCAGTCCACTTGACCTTCCATTTTATCTATTACACAGGTGCGACTGTTTTTTTCCGAATTATGATTGAATACAGTCAGTGAAGTTAGTTCAGATTAGGTTTGTTCTAGGTTCATTCGGTGAAACGATGCCTGGAACATTCCGCGATCCCAGCGACACCGGCCCGACACACCATGAGGCAAAATCGGGCGCTCGCATGTATTTTTCAGAATCCAGTAGTAAAATTAAGCATTCAGCCTTCGCACTCATTGTTTCAATTGATTATAGCGGCTTGATCAGTTAATCAAAATCAACTCACCTCTACATGCTCCCTCAGAGCCGCCAAAAGAATGCTCCTCAAATAATGAGCATCTCGTCCAGACTCAAGGTTCGTGATGATTAGCCAGAATGGATTTTTGTCATCAGGAGACGATTTACTCCGCGTCAGTCCACAACGTCGCTCTTTGTCCGATTCGCAAAGCGAAGACGATCTTGAATATTCAACACGACCATAGCTTCCGTTCGGGGAATACAGGTTGTTACATTGCGTGTGAACGGGTGAAGGAACCACGGGTGTGAATTTTTTCGGAGTTGTGAAGTGCAATTTTCTTACACCCTCGTTCACGTCATCAGTGTCAGCATGTGGCAACAGTGACTAAAATGAATGAACAGGAAATGAGTAAGGGAGCGCGGATTTGAATTTGGAACGAAGTGAATTTTCAAACCGATGTTACTGAAACCTGGGATAAAAGGAAATCGCATTCCGCGAAATATTTCCAAGTTCATACAGTATTCAAGTTCAAAATTTAAAATCCAGGTCCTCTCTTCTGATTCGAACGCATCGAAAATACAGGCAGTATTTTTCCGTTAATCAAACAGATCATTAGGTCTAATTCGCAAAAACCCTCTACAATTACAACTGAGAATTAACAAAACCGTACTTACAGGCACAGGTTGAACATCTGGTTCAGGACTACTGAGATCAGGAGACGGAGTTTTCTCAGCGGAGTCACCTAAAAATCGTTCCAAACAAGAAACCATACGTGAAAGACTATCTTCTAAGAATAATCAAAATTCTACTCATGGAATTCACTTTTTTACCTCCGCTGTCGATCGGAACAGATTCAGATGATTCACAATTCGATCCATCAGCATCGTCGCTCAATCTACACAGGTCTTTCTCAGATTTCGGAGAATCCTTCCCGGACAACTGAGCTTTCAGCCAATCCGCATGTCCATTTAAAGTGCACACTTTAGTCACGGATTTCCCTGGTCGAGCTGTTGGAGAATTAGTAAATTTAAACTTTAAATTTACTAATTCAGGTGAAAAAATCGAGAGGATTCACGTATTCCAACGAATATAGTGGTTCTTACCTTCAGTCGAAAGCTGAGGAAACTCGTCCATACCGAAAGAATTCTTCTCTTGCCAAAATTCATTCGTCTCAATGGCCTTCAATATTCTTACTCCAGTTGGAGCGCTTACGTCAACCGAACACTGGCTGGATGTCATCGTTCCGTCGTCGATTTCCAAATTGATCAATGGACTGTCAAAAAACGGTAAAATTAAATTTTTAAAAACCTTCGTGTCTCAAAATGTAAGACTATTCTCTCCGAAACTTACAACTTCAGTTCAAGTACACTACAGAGGTTGCTTATTCAGCTAGAAAAATTAGGGGGTGCACAATTCGTAAAGCAGTGTCGGGTACTTTGAATTAACCTCACATTCTACACTTACGGGGAAGGACGGACGTACCCAATAGTGGGAAATGCGTCTTCTGTCGCAGGAGGGATAGGTGTAGGCAAGGATGATCGTCCTGCCTGGTCAGCCGTCAAAATGTCCTGATCCGTTGACTTGCTTGAGTCCGGTATTCGGTCGGCAAGAATGAGATCTACGACGGGCTGAGACTCTTCCGCAGGACACGGAAGGACAATTTCGTCAGCTATCAATTTGACACAAAGAAAATCGATCTTGACCACAAAGCAAACCTCGGTTTTTGAACAAACAATCTAAGATGCCGATGTAAACAGCATTTAATTCAGAAATTCTCAACCTTTCCAATTCGTAGTGGATTTCAAGGTATTTCTTTCCACATGGCAGCCTCTTCGACACACCAGCAATTATGAAGTAATACTTTCAAATACCCTACCACTTGAACCTGACTAATCAACCTTCACACACAAATCGAATTGGACTCTATTCGTCCCACCGATTCCTCTGTATAATTGATTTGTTTCCTCTCTGAACAAACCCGGGTTCTCCCGAATGCGGAGCAAAGGTTGATATACTTTTTGGATAAAATCAGAGGCTAAGCTTCAAGGTGAAGGAATAAAATAAGAAAATCTTTACCTTCACCAAGTGGAGACACTGTAGGTAGATCAATGTTCGTATCACGCTCTGATCCGAAGATCGAGGCACGAATCACATTACCAAAAATGCGACAGCCATCGATACGCTTACACGCCCTGTGAACAAGTGGAAGATTGCTTGAAAAAGCCTCATCAGCAGAAAAAACGAGAAGTTTCTGAAGCGCCTACATTGATTCACGAAAGAAGTAGAACCCGAAGTTTACTCCGTTGCACACGCTGAATGTGCGAACTCAACGGATGAAATGAAGGCAAATTTCTTGCCACGAAATCGTACCTGGGCCTGAAAACTCGTTTCCCAAACAAGTTCCACGTAGTTTTACATTAGAAAAGCAAGTTTCCGTCAGAAAAATAAAACTGCTCGTTTACCAGAAAAATGGAGGAACACAAGGAAAGCAAGTTTTATTTATAAAAACGAGAATCGGTTCAAACAGAAAGAGAGATGTACCGGATCCGAAATTTCAAGCTGAAGATAAGACGTATGCACGCTGCACGTAAAGAATTTAAAAATTAAGCCCCTCACTAGTTTCATTTATTTTTTATTCCAGAAAATAAGACCTCAACCATGATACATCTTTTTCTTTGTTTAATTATTCTAGTTGAACTCTAGCACCGCAGGGATTCGTTGAACAGGATTTTTAAATACTGGATTAAAAATTATTAGGGAATTTTTAGTCATAATATCGAGACTACAAATTCTACAATATAAATATACTTCCCAAAAAGACCTTGTCATTTAATGTTTGGCTATGCTTGGCTGGGTCTGGAGCAAAAGTCATTATTTTGACATCCCATTTCCACTTGGGATTCCTTTCTACCTTGTTCCCATTTATTCCCTTCGCTGCCCAACAAAGTATGATGACACCAATCCATATTTATCGGTTGTTATGCCTGTTATTTGACCTTGACCAACCAAAGCTATGAACACAGATGTTTCTTTTTGTGAAGTTTAAGTTTACTGCAGTATGACTCCGCTGCGTCACCTTGTTGTCATCACTCTGCTCAAAAAATGTACTCTGTATCGAAATCTGTGAGAAGTTGTAAAATTAAATAAAGCTCCAACCCTTGCCAACATTGGATTGAGCAATTCAATAACGAACAGCGTTGTAATTGCCTGATCAGCATTCAAATTAAATTTGCAACTTGAGAACAGATTCTTCCGCATTGTAAAATATCTTCATAATAGCATGACAAAGGATGTCTTTCACAACCTACAAGTGAACAATTATTTCTGTACAACTCATGAGAAATTTCATTTACCTGACGAAGTTAAATAATTTAAAGCTTTAACTTCAACAGTGGAGAGCTTTTTTTCCAGAAGAAAAATTTTTGGGAACCCAGATTGTCGGGAAGCTTTGCAATGCTGTACATGGTTTCAAAACGTCCAAACCGAAACACGAGAACATAAACAAAATTGGTGTGGTCGAAGCATGAAAACTAATGTAACATAGTTGTAGTAACACAATGACACAACTCATCGAAAAAATATTTTTCGATAACAAAGGAACATGAAGCAGCATGTTCGACAAAAAATTTATTAAGCGAACAGAACTCACCGTTCGGCTGCAATATTCGTCCGGAAATTCAGCACTGCGACTTCCTTGTACACGAACTCCACTCTTCCCCCACAATTATTGCTGAGCCATCGCAACTTTTGTTGTATAACATCAGGACTTCTGTTCACTGCAAGGCCCCTCACGAGCACTTTCGTCAGCTGGCTCTCGTCATTCAACTGAAAAAGTAATGCATTCTTCATGAAGACGTCGATCTCATATTCTTTGAAGTACATTATTTTCGCAGGGTTGAACTGACAACTAACTAAATACATCTGAAATGCTCCGGTGGACAATGATACGCTTTCAAAATGTTGCATATCTTGAGCTGGTATTATTTAAAAAAAGAAATTAATTCGCAGCTCTTCTAAATAACGCATTATTTAATAGTTCTAGTTTTAGACAGTTGTCATTCGAAAGGAGAAAGAACCTCTAGAAAAAGTTGTTGAATATTTTTTCAAGCGACATTCTCCATTGATCGTTCAAAATTGAGCAGTCAGCAAAAAAATTTCCTAGAATTGGACTAAGGTACCGAATCAAATATAAGAGATTCGTGAAATCACTTACCTGAAAAAATTGTGTCGGTACTTTCGTAACAATGTCCGAAAAAGAAAAATGCTCATTCACGGCAAGGGTCAACGGCAAGGAAACAGGGGGATCTGAGATCAGTACAGTCTCGATACCCCTCCGATGTCTGAAGTCGGAGAGATCAGGGGCAAAATTTACATCCCGACTGATGAGGACGATTCTCGGGGTGCTTTTCAAAGAACCGTACTGATGATAATCAACGAATCTTCGCATGGACATTCGCAATTTATCATCGGCAGCATTTTTGCTAATCGCCGGTACATGAACGACATTCACGCACGCATCATTAAGTTGCTGGACGATCCGAGGCAATTCTTTGTTGATATCACAGACGCACATGAATTCCGCTTCACGGTACCCGATCATTACATGATCTCTTATAGCTTGGACGACTCTGAGTGCACACTTCCCTTTTGGAACCTTAAGAAAAGAACATTTTTACGTGATGAAAAAACAGAAGCAAAAGATGATTACCGATAATACCAAGTGATGCGTAGTGCAACCCTGAAACTTACCGCAACCGCGAGATTTTCCGCCTTCAAATAAAATTTACTTTCCGTAAGCATTGCAGGTTAGAATGCTGAGCATTATTTTATTACTTCAACAAGGTAAACATGAGCTCTCAAATATCTGCGAAAACCGAAAAACTCGATTTTCATCCTAGATACATTTTTAAAACGTAAGTGGGAAACATATGAAACCTGCCAATTCAATTAAATATCATCTATCAAGCAGCAATGAATCAAAATTTCCTAGAATTTCAGCGATAGATGCCTACATCTCGCAAAAATTATGCATCGTGACCTCTGTCATTGCAAACCAAAACCAACAACATTTCATGGGTTGAAAAATATCTTCCAAGAGAAGCACTGGACAAAATCCAAATCGGTTTGAAATAACAAGAAAGTACTGTAATTATATGCTCATATACTAGTTTCCATGACATGTATCAAAAATACTAAAAATATGAAATTCATGCGACCCAATACACTTGGAGGTATTCTCGCTCGAATTTTCTAGACCATGTGACCTATCAGTAAAATCGCCTGGCTTTTGATGAACACTACTGCAATGAACAAAATCGACGATAACGAAAGCCACTGAGTTCATTTTGCAGAAGTAAGTTCCTTAGATTGAAATATTTTTTTTATTTCAAAAGCTACGGCATTTCATCATTCAATCTCTTACCTGTACATTCTCGATGTCCCAAAATATACCGATGGGTTTCCCTGGAAGCTCTGAAGGGATCTGTTTGCAGCAAACGCCAACACCGTGACAAGTTTCCATTTTGAGTACATCATTACAAGAGCTTTGTACGTCAAATAGTCCAGCATTCTTAAAATGTTCCTCGTCAAACGATAACTTCCGGGTACTGTCAAAATCAAGCTTCGACTGGACACGGGAAGTCATGGTAACATCGGGAAGAGCCGCCGTCGCAGAAGCAACAAGAGGACCTAGCATGAAATACAACGCACAACATGAATTTTAATGACACTACACGCGGAACAAACGTAAACGGTGAAAAATGAGAAACTATTTCAAAATTCGTGAAATCGTAACTTGACGTCGAAAAAACAGAAATATAAAAACCAACCTGCTGGGTAGTCACTGAGTAATGGATCAATACAAGCAATAGATGCGATATTATTCGCCATAACTTCAGGTCACAAGGAGATAATTTCTTCGCCGTCGGTTTGAAGCTTTTGTTGTTTGAGCTGTCCCCGCTGGATCACCTCAAGACAACTGGCGCCTGAATTTCTTGTCCACGGATCACCCTGGTTGACCACATACCACATTTGATATCCCGACGCGTCGGATTTCATATGTACCAAAAACATCAGTCACTATCGGGAAACGGCACGCGAACATCATTAACCTGTCCAATTTGGAAGGAATACAGTACAATAACACCGCTTAACGAAAAAAAAAAACTGGACTGCCGACTCTGGATCAGATTTATTAACACACTTCATTGTTTCACTAGGCATGCAACGACAATATACGCGAATTTGACGCATACTATCATGTCTACCTTCTTTTCGAAGGACAATTATGCAATCGATTCAATTACTTTCCGCATCAACGCGGTCCTCTTTACGACCCTGACCCACGGGTCCATGGCGTCTTTCCCATACAATCCGGTGCTTTTGCTTCGCCAGGGCAGCAATAGCATCGCCACCATACCCAAGATCACCATCTAAACGAACAATAAACATCAAAAATTCTTCCTGCATATTAAAGTGAATCCTTTGGAAGACTAATACGTGAACGCTACTTACATTTGATGAAATAATTGTTTTCCGACACCTTGTAATCCTCTGTTACTTTGGCGCAAGCTGTTTCCTGATTATGCGGATTCATGTAGACGCATTCATTCATGCGATCGCGAAGAATCTTGAGGATGTTCGATTCAACAGACCTATCGACAATATGACATGTGCCTAATCATGGACCGTGGATTTGTAAAAAAAAGTATATAATCTTCAGTACCTATCACGGTAAAACTGCTCATTTGCTTCGTAAATGCAAATCGAATCATCCGTATAACACTGATCAATGGTTGGGACCCGGCGAAAACGGCGATGGTACCAGTGGTTCTCCTTCTGATTCGGCTTGACGATATTTTCTTCAAAATAATGAAAGTCACTCCCTACTCACATTAAATGAAGATCATATCAGTTTTTACCTCGTACGTATTTCACAGGTCCAGTGACAACGGTGGCCAATCCATCCAAACACTTCAGTAGGACACCTCGTTCAATTCTTGGATATTCCTTGAAATCGAAGCTAGGTTCGTCCCCGTGATGATCGTTCCCCATTACAAAAATTTGACTGCTCACTCACGAAGCCTAAGTGAATGAGCAGAGGATGAGCAATTGAAAATGGCGAACAAACAAAAGAAGCGTCGTCGAAATCTGAATTTTTCTAAGAAATAAAATAACATTTACCACTGAGAGAATACATGCTTAATCACATGAATTGACTTCAATAAGGAATACTCCTACAAATTAATGCGTACGTCACACCGACACTAACTTCTGAAGAAGTGCCTTAAAAGGATTGAACGCGATCCGTCTTTCTTCACACTTTCCGTACTACGCATTCATACGTGAGGCACATTCCCATCACACATCTCTCTGTGAGACACAAATCACGGTTTCCTCTTTCACGCCAAACTTGCCCGCGCCACCTCTCAGAGCCACCAGCGTCTTTTAGTGAGTGACTTCAACTGCTGGGTATAGAGGGTATAGATTCCATCTATGTTCATGTAGAATACAATATGTTGATGTATAAATTTTGGTGGACGGACTTCTTGCCGGAGCTCAAGATTGTTGTGGCAAACAATTTTTTTCAGGGAATTCTGAAAAAATATTTCTTCCATAAAACATGAATTAAAAATTATATAATGTAAGTCTATGGGAAAACAAGACTTGACTATAAAAATTATATAATGTAAGTCTATGGGAAAACAAGACTGGACTTAGGGACACTCTTGATGCACCAATTATGTCCACATCTCGGGTCTCACTGATTTATGTAATACTGTACATCCAAGTGTACTTTTCTGTATTTTTGAGTTGGACAAAAATCAGCAACATGCAGTGTATACTGCATGTATGAGATGATGTGCAATTTTACGGCATGTTCCCCTCCGTTGAATACTGTAGTGACACCTAGCTTTGGTCTACGTTTTATCACCAGAGCTTCCGTCCTCGCAGTCGGTTGGCAATCCGGATGCCGCCCACACCGGCTTCAAAGATGGTACTGTACTGTACTGTGCTAACTTCTATGCTTGGAGAAGAGCGCCGGTTGGATGGTGACCGGACGTTATGGATGACCACTTCTTCCGCCCCTGATGTGAATTCAGCATTACAGTACTTTAGGTGTGCTTATGTTTTGCTCAATGTTTGGTGTGCAAGTTCGTAAGGAAGTTGTCCGCCGGCGATTTGACCACGCTGTAATGGTTTCCTTCCTCTATCGTTGAAGTTGTGGAAGTCTGAAACGCAGTCCGTTCGTGTGTCTTTCCTATGCCGTCGCATGACTGACCTTCGTGTGATCATTCAGTTTTTGCAGGGCGGTGTGTTGTTTAAGTTGAAGATGGGCCGGTACGCGCGTGAGCCGGATAATGCCACCAAAAGCTGCAAAGCACGAGGTTCCAACCTGCGTGTTCATTTTAAGGTATGTTGTCTTCTATATTATCGCGTGATATTCATTGAGTCATGTCTACCTTGCAGAACACTCGTGAAACAGCTCAGGCCATCAAGAAAATGCCCCTGCATAGAGCTCTGAAATACCTGAAGAACGTTGTAGCCCACAAGGAATGTGTTCCCTTTCGTCGATTCAACGGCGGTGTGGGAAGATGTGCCCAGGTTCGTGGGCCAATGTCAAAATCTGTGCTTCGATATTTTCATGCGTTTTCTTCTGAATATTCAGGCGAAAGCATGGAATACTACTCAAGGTCGATGGCCGAAGAAATCAGCGGAATTTCTTCTTCAGCTTCTAAAAAATGCGGAATCCAACGCATATTACAAAGGACTTGAGAGAGATCATCTCGTCATAGACCATATTCAAGTTAATCGTGCTCCGAAAATGAGAAGAAGGACGTATCGTGCGCACGGTCGAATTAATCGTGAGTAATAGTGCAGTACATGTTCAGTTCTTTTGAACTCCGAATTTTCGTAGGATCAATATGTAATGGAACTGTGCCATAAATTATTTTAGCGTACATGTCCAGCCCGTGCCACATCGAAGTTATTTTGACTGAGAAGGAGCAAGTTGTTGCGAAGCCTGAAGCAGACGACGCCTCCAAGAAGAAAGTTTCGAAGAAGAAGTTGGCTCGTCAAAAGCTGATGCAGCGGGAATGATGTTTTTAAGTTGTCATCCGTAAGACGATGGGGAATTAAAGTTCGACGTACAGATGATTTAGATTGTCGCGTTGATTTTTCCGCCTTCTTTGGAGCATTGGCCCAACAAGTAAGCTGGGTTGCTTCTAGTGTTCGTTTCAGATTGACGATGTGAATTTACAAGAGATGTATTGTTCGGATGTACTCGACTGTCATAACAGTTATGATCAAAAGTGATTTCCGATTCACGGCAAGGTGTGTATTGCGATCATTCCGGAAGTGTTACTTCACAAAGGCGTTGCGTGAAACAAAAATGCCAAAACTGAAGAATATCCAAGGTGCGCAAGAAGTCAGAGCGGCGATTTTAGCCCGTTCTAAATCACGGAAAGGGTATGAACCTAGCGAAATCACTCTTCAAGTTCTTGGTCCTGGATCATTCGGAGGATGTCGAGCGTTGGTTCTCAATTCCGACGCAATGACGTGAGTATTTAGAACGCGTTGCGATCAATTTAATTATTTTTATGTAGCCGGTAATGAAAATATGCCGGTATTTTGCAGGTACCTGTTCAACTGTGGGGAAGGCTGTCAACGTTTGTTCACAGAACACAAAGTTAAGCTGACGAAACTAGAGCAAGTTTTCTTGACGAGCAATTCTTGGGATAATTTAGGTGGTTTGCCTGGTTTGGCCATAACTGCTGCCGACATTGGGATCCCTTCACTGTCTCTCCATGGCCCTCCAGGCTGCGTAAGAAACTAATGATGGATGAAGTAGGTTGACTTACATGTCAACGCCCCTCTTTATTTTCAGGAGCGCTTAATTTTGGAATCGGAAGGATTTGTCAACGTTGATGAAATGACTGTCTTCAAAAAAGACTGCTGGAGTCGCCAAGAGTTTTCGGACGAATTAATTCAAGTTAAGACCGTCCCGTTTTACGGTCAACGGAAGACGACTCCTCCCTCGGCGGATCCGCCTCCTGCATATTCTTTCTATTGTGAACGCAAAGGGAAGCAAGGAAGAATTCGTCTGAAGTCTGAAAGTGACTCTGATGGTAATTACTCCTGAGCTTTTATACTGCTGTATCCATAAAAACCCATATTATCCGAAGTTGTGCTATAAATCGATAATCTAGCTGAGCGACACCTCATTTCCCTCATACTGTACCTCGTTGTATATTTAAAAAAATTGAGTTAGTGTGGATCGCTGGATTTCCAAATTCTATATGTGATTCGCGTGACTGCATCAGTACGCGAGGCTTTTTTGTTAGCTATGTACGGGACATTTTTTGTTTTGTTTTCGTTGTTTATCATGACGCGTGGGGTTTGAAATATGGTTTCAGGGTGCAGCTTGCAATCCGACCCGAAAAAACTGAAGACGCTGGAAATTCCGGAAGAAATGAAGAAGAGGGAAGTCGGACTGATTTACATTGTGACCACTCGACCGAAACTCGGTACATTGCTGCTTGACAAATGTATAGATTGTGGAGTGCCAACTGGCCCGTTGCTAGGAAAATTGAAGAATAATATCCCGGTAACCTTACCTGATGGCCGCGTTGTCGACCCAAAAGATGTACGATCTCCGGATGACCCCGGTCGTACTTTCTGGGGTAAGTTTAGTTTTTTTCTTGCATTGCATGAATCATTCAAATTTGTATGATAATGGACCTGGTTTTTTAAAGTTGTGGAATGCCCTGGGTTCGAATATCTCGATAGTTTCTGCTCTGTGTCATCAAGCTTATGCGACACATTTCTTCAAAAACCTGAGGAAGAGCCCAGTGTGATTGTTCACTTCACACCGATGGACATAGTAAATGAGGAGAGGTACGAATTCTCTAGTTTTGGATGTGTTCTTCGATTTTTCAACTACGGAATAGTATTTTCAGACGAACTTTATAATCACAACTTGCAGCATTTGTGCTTAATTTTTCGCAATACAGTATCAGATTAAAAAAAAATTCAAGTTTGACTGTAAATTCGGCGTGCAAACGTGTTTAGCGGTGCATGTGCTGATGCTCCATTTTCTATAGATATCGGAATTGGATCAAGAGATTTCCCGATGCAGTTGTTCATTTGTTTTTGAATGAAGAAGTACCCTGTTCGGGAGCAATTGATGTTCATCGGCTACAGACAAAATTGAATCTCCTGGATTCTCGGCTATTTCCAGCTCTCAATGAGAGTTATCCCATTGTCAATGAGATGGAGCGTGATTATGAATACATGAAGATAGCCTCGGATGTGGCGGCGCAGAATGCATATTTTGGTTACCCTGGTGTCAGGTTTAGGTTAAGAGCTCGAAGAAATGAACCTATTCTAGGTTTGGATCGGTAAGTATTTCTTCGGCCTTTTTCGGTTATTCGAAAAAATTATTTTCGTCTTAATAATTAAAAAATTTTTATTATAATCAAATGTAAATTTTTTAAAATACTTACAGGCAATCTTCTTTCCTATTGAAGCATCAAGAGTACATTGACGAAGTAACCGCGTTTCCGGACGCTGTGAATCTGATAGAGGGAACTAAAGAGAAGATTCGGGAGATGAGAAGCTGTGATGCTTTGAAAAATAATGAATACCCCGAAATTGTTTTTGCTGGCACAGGGTCCGCAATTCCAAACAAAAGCAGGAATACATCCGGAATTTTGGTTACCAAAAGGTGAGTAATTCTACATTAGTTGCCGCTGTGTTTTCTTCGTCGCCATTAAAAAAATGCGCACTCCAATTTTTCAGCGAAAATTCTCGAATTTTGATGGACTGTGGCGAGGGTACACTTGGACAAATTGCGCGTTTTTTCGGTGCGAAGAACCATGTTGAAGGAAAGAATGTTTGGGACGTTCTGCGGGAATTGGACGCCATTTACGTATCGCATCTTCACGCTGACCACCACATCGGTCTTGTCGGTCTGCTGCGAGCACGGAAGCGAGCTTTTGATAAAAGCCTTGGTGGGGGCGAAATTTTTAAACCTGTGATGCTTCTAGCGCCCGTCGGACTAAAGTGGTGGCTTAATTGGTTCTCGGACGTTTTTGAGGATATCAGGCCTTCCTTCGTGTTCTTTGATAATAGGGACTTGATGAGGGAAGAGAGCGGTACTCTCCGTGCGCCGGATTGCGTGGAAAGTTTGAAGCGGGCATTGGATTTGGAAGAACTTGAAACGTGTTTTGTTCCACATTGTCTCCACGCTTTCGGTTTTCGCTTTCGACCTCGAGGTGGTAGAAGTTTGGTATATTCTGGAGACTGCAGACCAAGTGATAATCTAGTGAAACTCGGGGACTCCTGCGACATTCTGATACACGAGGCAACTGTTGAAGATGATCTCGCGGAAGATGCGGAAATGAAACGACATTGCACTGCTAGTGAAGCGTTTCACGTAGCAAAACGAATGAAGGCGAAGCACATCATGTTCACGCACTTTTCACAGAGGTATAAAATCCCTGTGCTTTCTGAAGAGGTAGCTGCACGTGTTGGCATTGCTTTCGACAACATGAGGGTAAGTTCAAATGTACCGTATGTACTGGTTTTTTTTTTCTCGCAAGTTTTGATGAATTGTACTCGAATTTCAAGAATTTTTTGGTTTCATGTCTGCTGAGAAATTAAAGTGGTTTTTCTTTCATTTAAATTACGAGTACAGTATTGTGCTTATTGCACAAGTCGGTGAATAGTTCGGTGACTTGGTATGTATATCTTTTCCCGTTAGCGAAAAATGTCTTCGATTTGACGCAACATTTTCGATTGAATAACTTCAATTTTCCATTTAATATTTTTCAAATCTTACCTGAAAATTTTTTTCGAACTCTATCGCCACTGATTCGCCGATCTGAGTTTCCCTTTTTTATTTTAAAGACTAGCTTAGTTCATAAAAATTTGAGGAACTTGAACCCATTAATAATTTCTTTCAAGTTCCCCGTACATGTAATGCGGTATTTGGGAAGTTCTTGACGCAGATTCCGGAACTTGTGAAATGCCCTTACTAAGCGATAAAGTTGAAGCTACAATGTATTTTTTCAATACAAGTGCTTCAGTATTTTGTGTGTGTTTTCTTCTCAACTTGAACAGTTTTCAATTGAAGGCTGTTATTTTACGCTGTATAATGATTAATTTCAGAGAATTTTTTCAGGTTACTCCCAAAGATTTTGGCGTATTGCCGCAGTTGTATCATCCACTTAAAGCCATGTTTGCTGAGCACATGGAGAATATGGAGATAAAAACTGGGAAATACGTAAAAAGAAGACTGGCTGCCGCTGCTCAACCCATTCGAGAGGAAGTCCAGTAATATCGCTCCAATGATGCGATAGTGGTCGGGGAAAAATGAAATTCTGCTGTTTATTTTTCCCGGTTGAATTTAGCATTCAAGAATGACAAGTTCTGGGAAAGAGAATCTAACCTGTAATTTATGTAATTTTTAGATTCCGGTGTTCAATTATGCGTGTAAAACCGTGTTTGAGTCGACTGCAATTTTCGCTGTCGAATTTACGCTGTTACCAATCCGCAAGATCAGCTTCTTCGGGTATGTAAGCTTACCTCCGTGCAAAATCCCTCTTTATTTTTGAGCCTGTATTTCACAGTTGCAAGCAAACCCTTGGAGGATTTCGTCCAGAAGTCCATTTTACCCCAGATTGCTGAAATAAAAAATGCCGGTACATATAAATCTGAACGTGTGATTAAAACGAAACAAGCAGTTGAAATTGAGGTTCAAGGGGTGAAAACAAAACTGCTCAATTTCTGCGCCAACAATTATTTGGGTTTGTCGGTGAGTTTCTTCCTGGAATTTTTAGTGGAATTAGTATGACCGTGGTTGATCAATATTCTTTTGAATTTCCCGGGGATTTTTTCAATTATTGTAGTTCCAAATTCCAGTAAAAGTTTCAGAAAACTTCATCCACTGACTGGTAGTACAGATGTACAGTACAAAGTTTTTACGTCACTCCAGAGTCATCCAGCTGTGGTTGCTGCGGGGAAGAAAGCGTTGGATGAGTACGGTGCTGGTCTCAGCTCTGTTCGTTTTATTTGTGGAACCCAGAGCATCCACAAGGTATGAGAGTCAAAAAGTTAAATGATGATTGAGGATTTTTATTTTGCGTTTTTTTCTTCTAATAGGAATTGGAAAAACAAATCGCGGAATTCCACGGCCGCGAGGATACAATTTTGTACGCGAGTTGCTTTGATGCAAATGCTGGTATCTTCGAAACTTTGCTTACTCCTCAGGACGCCGTTTTATCGGATGAATTGAATCATGCTTCAATTATTGACGGCATTCGATTGTGCAAGGCTCAGAAATATCGCTATAAGCATATGGATTTGAACGGTAGGCTCTTGTTTTGAAGGAGAGATTCATATTTCTTTATATATAGCTCTTGGTTGTTCTTTTAGATCTGGAGACAAAGCTGAAGGAAGCTGTGAGCGCTGGTGCAGTCAATAAACTCATTGTTACGGACGGCGTGTTCAGCATGGATGGAGATGTTGCTCCTTTACCGCAAATCTGCGATTTAGCTGACAAGTATAGAGCAATGGTTTTCGTCGACGAATGTCACGCCACTGGATTTTTTGGAAAAACTGGAAGGTATAATTTTCATTTGAAGATAAGTCAGTCTTTTATGAATTTTCGTATCGAAGGATCCATAGTTGGATCAATCCCTTCTAAACTTTTTTTTTGCATCTTGATCGCTCAGAGGAACTGAGGAATTCTTCGGGATCGAAGGGCGAGTGGATTTCATCAATTCAACCCTAGGCAAAGCTCTCGGTGGAGCTGCTGGAGGCTACACAACTGCCAAGAGAGAAGTGATCGATCTACTCCGTCAGCGGTCGAGGCCGTACCTTTTTTCGAATTCGTTGCCGTCACCGGTCGTCGCTTGTGCTTCTGAGGTAGTAGCTCAAACTATATAAGTTGAAAATTTCTGATCTGTAAATATTTTCATGAAGGTGTTCAACCTGCTAACTTCCAGTAGTGGTTTCGCCGAGAAGGTTGCGTCGAATACAGAACGCTTCCGCGAGGGAATGACTGCTGCTGGGTTTGAAATTTCCGTGAGTTGTGACTTGAGAAAAAGAATTACTTTTGAATCTTACAATGAATGCTCCTCATTTCAGGGTAACAATCATCCAATTTGTCCAGTAATGCTGTACGACGCCAAGATTTCGGCCTTAATGGCGGAGAAGTTACTGGGTAATTATAATCAATGCCGCAATCGTTTTGCAATGCAGGAGTAGATGCACTGAGTTGCACAAAAAGTCGCCGGATTTTTTTCTTGCGATAAGAATGAAATCAATGCTGATGCCTGTATTGTTTTCAATTTTTGGTTATCAAATACTTCCGAAAAAAATTTAATGAAATCGGACGTGTGTGGCCATTAAAAACCAAGGTAAAACCAATTTGAAACGATTTACCAATTTGAGTACAATACTTATGAATTGACAGAAATTTTGTCTAGCCCTGCATATTGAAATTTCGCAAAATTAAATCTTCGCAAGTTCCGAATGTTCAACATATTTTATGCGTAATTTTCAGATCAAGGCATATATGTGATCGCATTCAGCTATCCAGTGGTTCCAAAAGGAAAGGCTCGTATCCGAGTCCAAATCTCTGCTGCTCATACGGAGAACGACATCGACCGAACCATCGAGGCGTTCACAACTGTTGGCCGAAGTTTGGGCGTTTTGAAATGAGCAGTGCCGAGAAGATGAGAATTGCCACAGATCGTTTGATTTGGAAAGAAGTGTTCTCTATTGTGTGTTGTTGCTTTATTTGAGCTTTAAATGAGAAAAAAGTTCGGAGTTATTCTTACGGACCACCTTCAGTCTAGGCAATCTTACGTGGATTTTTGCATTCAGAATCTCCAAGGTTTTGTAAAAGCAGACTGCTTTTCTGAACACGTAGATTTTATACCCATGAGTTTCGTCGGGCGTCGGTTGGAAGAGAAATTTTACGCACGTTCTTGTTGATTTTTTGCATAACTTTTTTCGAGGCTTGAATTTGGATTCGCCTTGATGATCATCTCCGTCCTTTTTTTTTTCAGAATTTGAGCATAATTCTCTGGAAGCTTTTTTTTTTTTTTGGTCTGATCGCGGACTTCTGTGACAATGTCGACAGCGTTCGCGCAACCCCGTCCTCGCGTATCCCCGAATCCTGCGCAGATTCAAAGGGTAGGTATCAGTTTTTTTTTTAATGGGAGTTTCTACAAGTACTTTATATTTCCGCGTTTATTTTACAGATGCTGGATGAGAACTGTCAGTTGATCCAAACCATTCAAGAATATCAGGCTCAACAGGATGTCACGGAAGCTATGAAGTACGATCAGCATCTTTCCAAAACTTTTTATGTTGATTTATAGCAAACTATTTGCAATTGTTCGATACCTGTACTGTTGAAATTCGTTAGATTGTGAAGGTAAATATCACCTTCTTCGCGAATGATACAATTTTTTTTTTTTTCAGATACCAACAAGTTCTTCATCGAAATCTAGTGTATCTCGCCTCCCTGGCAGATTCTACGCAAAACATCCAAGAAGTTCTTCCGGTGCGCCGTTGACAAAAATCCTTGAATATAACCTTAACTTGATCCTAAAGAAATTCTTGACGTTCTGATGATACTTCAACAGCCTCCGCAAGTTCTAAGTCGCCAAAGTGCCGGTGGTAATCTTAACGCCGGACCTAATCCGGGAGATGGACAAGGCACTGGTGCGCCTCCTATATCTCACCCTGGAGCCCCTGTCTCTACTCATCCATATGCTAGAACCATGCCTCATGGATCCCCACAACGTACGGAAAATTTTGATCCCTGTTCGTTCTATGTAGAAAAAACGTTCTACTTTGTTCACCGACGTTTCCATATTTTAAAAATTCGGAAAATGAAGTTGTCTTGCTTCCGGATTTTTTTAGTTTTCATTTTTCTTATACTTTTATTTTCCGGGGTTTCTCCGTAGGAGAAGCAGCAGTTCTTTAACTTTGTATACGGGTGAACATGGGTCTCAATGTATTTTTCCTTTTCACTGTAAGGTCAATCGTCGGTTTTTCTGAAGTGTGAACTCTTGACAGTCCGTCAATCGGAGAGCAATAAAGTACGCACATTTTTGTTAAGGTCCCGTGGGCTCTCCAATGTTTGCCAGGAGTGGGCAACCTGGATATGGTCACAGTCAACAAATGCCAGGCTATGGAAGTTCTTATGGCGGTGGTCCGCCTATGCCACCCCAGTCTGCTCAACCAGCTGGATCTCATTTGCCACCATCGCAGGTACTTCAATCCTCCTCTTCGTCATACAGCGAAAAAAAGCAGAAATTTATCAGGAAATTCAGAAATGCCGATTTTTGAAATCGAAATTGTTCTCTCGTCTTCCAATTCACGTAAAAGCACTCCTTCAGCCTTCGCGAGAAAATGCATGGTGTCTTGAACTTCGGAGAATTTTTTTCTTTCCTAATGAACATATGTTTGACTTCTTTTCACAAGATAATACTGTAGCTTGAATGTCCTGAAGCTACCAAAGCTTAAAAACAGGCCTACCTTTCTGCGTTACACTCTGAGGATGTTAATTTTTTTATATTCGAGCAGGGATATCCTGGTGGTGGTGGCGGTCCTCAACCACAGCCAGGCTCGACGACCTATCCAGGACAACCCTATCCACCGTCTACGACGATGAGCAATACGAACGTCCCTGGTGGTTTGCCCCCACAGCAGCAGATTGCGAACGTTCCGACGTCCCGGCCTCCTAATGCACCTTACGGTCCGAGCGATGCCCAACAGCCGTCGGGATACCCTGGATATCCGCAGAGCCAGTTGTCGCACCATTCACACATGCAACAACGATACCAGCATCAACAGCAGCAGCAGCAGCCACCACCTCCGCAACAGGGTGCTTATCCCGGATATCCGCCTTCAAATGGACCCGTTCCGAGCGGTCCTCCGCCACCGCAGCAGCAGCAGCAACAACAGCAACCGCAGCCGCCCATGAGTGAAGGGCACGCAATCATGCCACCACCGGCAACTACGCCGACAACTTCTGCGCCTCCGCCGACTCCCCCGCAAGCTGGCCCGAGGCCATCGCCGAGTCCATCTCCTTCTCAGCAACAGCAACAAAGACCGTCACCGACTCCTAGCCCTGCTACACAACAGCAGCAGCAACAACCACATCAGCCACAGGCCCCGCCGCAACAACAACAACAGGGTGGCTATGGTGGCGGTTCGTCGCATTATCCACCTGGTGGTCCTGGCACTCCGCAACAGGGACCACCGGGTCAACAACAGCAGCCGCAGCAGCAGCCGGTGCCATACGGCTATCAGACACCAGGGCGACCCCCGTCACGACCTCAGGACGCGAATCCGAGAACCTCGCCGGCTCCTGTTGGTACTTCTGGACACGGGAGATACACTCCACCAGTTAGCCAAGGCCTACCACCGCCTCCCCCAACTGGCCCTACGTATTCCACATCTGCTCCGATGCATCATCAGCAGTACTCGGTTGCTCCTCCGGGAGGCCCGCCGCCGCCGGGACAGCCGCAAGGATACGGACCGTACGTGCATATGCCGCCACCTGGGCCACAGCAGCAGCAGCAACAACAGCCGCCCCCGTCTGCGCAAGGGTACCCCTACGGTGCACAAACTCCGCCAGGAGCTGGCCAGCCGCCATCTAATTACCCCTATCACCACTCGCCGTACCCCCAGCAATACCCTGGTGGATCTCCATCGTCGGCGCCGCCTGGTGGACATTACCCTGGGGGTTATCCGCCGCCACCAGGGCCGCCGAATCAAGGCCCACCGCCGCCACCGGGTCCCCCGCAAGGGTACGGATACCCACCGCAGGGCTACCCACCGCATGCTGGCGGTGGTGGAGGCGGGTATCCTCCACCGGGGGGCTATGCTGGTGGACATCAATGGGCGCAACAGCAGCAACAACAACAGCCCCAGCAGCAGCCGGGGTATCCAAGTGGATATCCGCCTCAGCATTATTATCCGCCTGCTGGAGTCCCGCCGGCGCCGCCACCATCGAGTGGGCCGCCGTCTGCGCCTGTTTCGTCACAGTGACACAGGGATCGCTGGCTTTGAAGCGAGCCAAGGTGTACGACGTGTGAGTGCGAGTGGATGTAGTGAGATGATTCTGTTTTTCTTGGTTTGTGTTTTGTACAATTTTTTGCATTTATTAGATGAGGGTTGCTCAAAAGCTTGTTTCGCTCGAGTGCTTTAAAATTTTCCAGTGTGAGTATTCTCGTGATTATTTTCCTGTTTTTTGGTCCGAGCCATGTTTTTTTATTGAATTTTTCCATTTCAGGAGTGATCATAATTTAAGAATTTGCGCCGATGCGAACATTACAATGAATCTTGACGTTCGTTGAATTGAATCTGCATGTTTATCACCTTTGGAAATGTGGATGATTGTTGGATCTGATGATTTAAACCGAATATTATAATGAGCCGCTGAGGGGTTCATAGTTGCTCCCAAAAAGCAGAATCAATAATGTTTAAATCAGTAATTCCATGATTCTCTTTAGACTGTTTTCTTAAAATTTGTTTATTGATCTGCATTTTGTGTCTTCTGCTTCGATAATCACAAAGCGTGTAGTATTAGGTACAGGGAGGTTGACTGTGATTTAACGTAATCTGACTCCGGTTTGACTTTTTCATTGAATTAGTTTCAATTGCTGATGGATTACGCTGCTGTGTTATATTTTCAAAGCTGACGAGTGAGCAACTTTGTTCAAACCCTCGTGGGCAAATAGAAAATCCATAGATTATGTGTTGCTTCTTGCTTGTAAAGCGAAATCGGAGATTTTTTCGGTCGACGTAAGGTCATTTCTTCCGCATAATTCTGTTGATTGTGTGGACTTGAATTTTTGTTTTTTTTCAAGGTTTTTGAATTGCTTTTCGTGAGGTATTATTTTTGTTCAGACGAAGTTCACGGTTTCAATACTGTTATGACGGTATTTAGTTAGAGATGGATTTTAATTTTCCGAACTTCCTTTCGAATTGTCCTCTCCTTTTGTAAATTGCCTGTGAATTACAACTGGTTTTTCTGCATCATTCCTCGTCTTATTAATGTTTTTTTATGAATGGGTATGAAATGGCTACAGAGAATTGATTATATGTACCAAAAGCTATCGACTGTGGAATCGGAGATTGTGTTGAAATTCCGGACGTATTCGTCCGCATTACACCATTATGAAGTGCTATGTTAGCCCCGAGAAAATGTACAGTAAGCCGAAGGCGGCGGGAGACTGCTTCGGTCTGTTCCCGTCGCAAGATGCCTGTTCCCATTGGCATCGAAGTTCCACGATCGAGAGATCTGGTTTGCTCGCGGCATCTGTGGCACTACTGATGTACGTTTGTTTCGAACGAGTTGACGTTGTTTGCCTCGGCTTGCTTCTGGGTGAGGCTTTACCCAGTGGTTTTTTATTTTATTTTTTGCGGCATTTCTAAGTATCAGTGAGCATTTTATTTTCCAGGGTTTTGGGTGTCCTATGGTGTGGAAAGCATCCGATCTTATGTCGCTAATCGTCGGCGCTGTTTTCGGATGAGTTGATCTATCGAGAATCGGCCAATTTATTTTATTTACTGTACTAAATTTGTTTACTGCTGGTTCTCTAATTTCAAGTTATTTTTCGTGTGACTGCTCTCTTAAGTCTGCGACGCCTTCGAAGTGAAGTTGATCGCGCTGAACTCGTTGAAGCTTCGTATGATTCTGAATATTTGTTTTTCTAATATATCAATTTCAACGGACGCAACGTCTGCGTAATGTTCACATTCAGTCATAGCTTGATATGTTAATCTCATCTGTTTCTGTTCAATCTTCTGGGGTTGAAGATTTGTTCCGAATTTTTATCATTTTCAGAATGAGTTGAAATAAGCACCGCACCGTGGGTCGCAATGTGGCATTTGTTTGGAAATCGGCTTAGTTACTGTAAGAGCGAATAACAGGAGTAATTCAGCTGGTAAACTCTGTGTATATAAAGGGATAAGAATGGTATACAGGTACAATGAAAATACTTCCGATCACGAGGAGTTCACGCTCTTTAACCTCACTTGATTTCAAAAGGAAGTTCTAGTTTTTCTTTAAAAAAAAAAAAAAAAAGAGCTGGAAAGCCTTCCTAACCTGTTCCACTATGCATATTATTCAAACATATTGTAGTACAGGCCAATCTTTTCATGTCAGGACGTTCAGCGAAAAAATCCATCAATAGCGATAGGGATGAAGGAAACATGCAGCAAGCAATTGTGTTGCGGGAAAGAAATAAGAATTGCAGGAAATTGTAATTGTTGACACATTCTATGCCTTAAATTGCTTTTTTCATGAGTTTACAGTTACAGGATACAATATCTGTCGTTGCGAGCGTACAGTAAAATCGTCGCTGTAGAGGAGCTGTTCATTCTGTGGCACAAATGATGCCCAATCGAACGAACAGTTCGTTGTATCTAGGAAATCCCTGATCTTAAGGAAATCAGCGGATTGCGACTCCAACAGCTGGACTCCATAATAAGTTTCTATATAAAAGAATTACGATCATATATTTCTTCGCTTGTACTCCAGTAAATAAATGTGAGGTGAGTATATAGGACGCGTTTTTTTTTCCTCGCGTTCACACTGATACCCTTCCGAATAAGTCCACTCCATTTCGGAAGACCGGAATAGGGTTTCTTGTAAAACCCTATACCGATAAGCTTGCCTAAGTCCTTCCGATGGAGACATCTCCAGGGCGGGAAACGCCGGTTCGCGTTCTACCGGTTTCCTTAATCCGTGTAGTGATACTGATTAATCGGCGTCCGTTGCTATGCTGGTGTTACGCAGTCACGAGAATATTTGGATCAGCATTGGTTAGTGGTCCTGTGAAAACCGGTTCTCGACGGCTCAGAGGCAGCGAGGATGCTTGAGTGTCTCGACTTGTCTATAGAAAATACCGCGTGCTTGCATTTTGAGATCCTTGGTGGCCCCTGCAATGACGGAAGTATTTCTCACGCTTGGCCGTTCTCGACTTGATTGATGTGGAATAACATGCTGTGGTGAGAAAAAAAAACATTCCTTGTCAACCTGAGGGCCTTTCCTGTTGAAGCTGCCCCCGCATCAGTGCTGCTTCTGCATTTGTGTGTGTCAACATAAATCCGAGGTACGAAATGCAAAGGTTATAGGTTCGTCACGAATTGGGTTATGTTATAGCTTTGTGTTATCAGTTGGGTAATAATTCAGCTACTGCTTGTGTTGAATGTTTATGTGACTTGAATATTTGTAAGATTTGGGATTACTTTAGTTTTGCTCATGCCGAGGCCAAGCTTAGGTGGCATCATTAATTTTAGTTTAGATAAGTTAGGTCATTTGAACATTACTGAGTTCGGCTTATTGTGATTATTTCAAGTTTATGTCGTTTGCTGCAGAAACTCTCATTTTCAAAATTGCTCTGTGAGCTTCAACTATGTAAGTAATGCATTAGATTAAATAGAGTCTTGCGACAATGATAAATAATCACGTGCGACAGTCTTTTTTAGGTCCCTGTCCAATGAGCTATTTTATGAGTTTTATCTTATTACGAAAGAGTTTATTTTACAGGTCCCAATATGCTTTTGTTCGGATATGATTTTGTTGTATTTGATGGAACATGGAATATTATCCAGAATCTGAAAACTTCATGTAGCATAGCAGATTTCATCTACTATACTTCATGCTCCAAATAATTGTGAATGAATGGTTTATGAAATTCAGTGAATTGGTTTCTTCCCAAGAATGTTCTTGCAGTCCAACTTCTGACCTCTCGTATTCAAATTTTAAGGAACGAGCAAAATATATTGGCTTAATAAATAGTTTTCGAGTTGTTAAAATCAATATTTTTAAAAATAAAAACATAAAGTATTTTAACAAAGCAAAAGATCTTTTGGACCTCGAACAGCTGGATGAATGAGACAGCAGGATGATGAACATCGGGAAAAAGGATGAATTTGCCCTATCCGTCGATTACAGTATACAATACTGTACTACCTTCTAAAAATGATCGAGTTAGATTTTTACTGCTCTTCCATCATTTCATTGTCCCAAAATAATGGCACAAAGGCCTTGACAAAGTTCAGGTTTGTAGAGATTTTAGGGAGAAATCTTTGTTAGTTGAGATCTATGTGTACGTACTGTATCACTGTTTTTTGTGGTAATTAAGACAGGGCCATAAAAATTTACATCAGGAGGATTAGAGGAGATACATGAGTTACTCAGGTCCAAATGCACGTACCAGGCTTATAATACTGTACTGCCAGTTAAGACATTTTTGTATTTTGGTTTTGCTGTGAAGGTTACGCAGCTATCCGGAAAAATTCAGCAGTCCTTTGCAGAAGAAACCTGATGCTGGGATTACGTTTTTGTGTGTGTTTTTTTGGGCTGATCAACATGCTTTTTCCTAATAAGTCAACGATTGATTATACTGCTGAAAATCGTCAGCAAAAACTCAGTCGTGCGCGTCTTTATGTATCGCTCTCTGTGTCTATGTGACTCGGAAATTTTGATATACCCCATGCTATGCTAAAGGAGAAACAACCTTTGACTGACGGGAGTTAATTGTTCAACTGGCTGTCCACCGCAGCCTCGAATTCGTTATGCCTTGGTGCATCGTACTTTCCATTGGCACATTTTTGTCCCCGGATCAGCCGTTAGTTGCGAGTACTTCTCCATTGTGTCAATGCATTTCTCGCTGGAAGTTCGACGCTGCGCTCGCATCCGTGAAGCTGATGGAATTACTCGGCATACTTTCACGAAATGTTGCCGGGGTAATGAGCCGCTGGAAAGACTTAATTAGTCTGAAAAGACGCCGTTCAAAAGACGATTCCGCGGTCTGATCTCGCACCGACATTAGAGCCGCTCACTTCGCGGTGGTTTCATTCTGAGCAATTTCCTCGTCGAGTCGTCGTGGTTGTATGAGAACTGTCACAATATGATCGCTTTAACGACCGACTTATATGAAAACAATTCCGATCACGGGGATTTCACGCTGTTTATAACCTCACTTGAGTTCTAAAATAAATTCTAGTTTTTCTTTGAAAAATAAAAAGAGTTGAAAAGCTTTCGTAACCTGTTCCACTATGGATATTATTCAAATATACTGTAGTACAGTCCAATCTTTTCATGTCAAGCTTCAAGGGACCAGCGAAGAAATCCATCAATAGCTTCGGATGAAGACAGCATGTAGCAAGCATTTGTGTTGCGGGAAAGAAATAAGAATTGTAGGAAATTGCAACAGTTAATATATTCTACGCCTTAAATTGCTTTTTAAACGAGTTTACGGGAGGGTGCCAAACTTAAAAGCAAGGGTTTATTTACCAGATTAGTCTTTCAAAACGCATCAAATTACATTTTATTTATTTTATCTTTCCTGTGTGAATAAAATAATTGCAAAAAGTCCTCTGGGAGCAAAGCCGATGAGTGAAGAAGATTCTTATTCCATTATTATTGTTTTTGAGGGGAATCAGACAGGGACAAGAAAAATCGGCGTGGAGAACCTCGAGTTATCGAAGTTTAATTGTATTTTTCGCGAAATTTTCTGCAGTAATTGTAACCAGCCTAAACTCATGTTTTTTTTAACGAAACTAAGTATTTGGCGGGTGGCTTACGAATGTTGACTGTTTTCTGCTGCGTGTTTCCCTTGCTAATTTTCTCAGTCAATTTGTTATTTTTCATCTCTCACACCACAGAATTCTTCATTCACTTGAATTTTCATTTCCTGTAAGATTTCTAAATTATATTTTTGGGTGGAATTGTCTTTTTGCTGAAGCATTTTTCTTTACCTCATTATCTCTCTGGTATCGATCGTGTTCATAATAAATTTTCCCATACTGGCATTTATTCATGTTTATGAGCAGTTATTTCAGGGTGAGTTTACATGGAGAATGTATCAGCTTGAAACCCCCTGAGATTTCTATTTTGAGGTATATGCGCAAAATACCCCGTCTCCAATTCTTTATTATTGTACACGACGTGCTTACTTTTAATGAAGTGTGGATTTATATTCAAAATAGAATACAGTACAATGCTTGACCAAAATTGTCAAAAAATCGTTGTTTGTGGGATTTTGGATTATGGGCTCATGAATATTCAGAAGTACGTTATAGCCACGATTGACTTTGAAGCTGTCGTCGGAGGCATTTGTTCATTATTTTTCTTGCCGGTGTTCCATATACAGTATGTAGTCTGAGTGATTGACTGATGATGACGCGTGCAAATTATAAAAATGCGCGAGTAATTAAATAACGCGGAAATATCGAGAGAAACGTCGATTTCCGGCGAGAAAGTGATGATCTCGCCGACGAGCGGTATACACGTACTGTTGGATGGCATCCCTGAGTGCTCAAGGCAACAGCTGGTGCCACTCACCAAACTCCCGCCGAATAGCCATAGTAGCGTGCAGTAGGAGAAAGCAAAAGGGAAGCCCAGTGAACGCTAGCTCCTTACCCCGGTTACTCCTCCTTCTGCTTTCGTACAAAACAGTTCCGTGACCGCCGCCGTTTTGCGCGCCTATGATGCGGACGCCCCCCGAGCGAGTCCTGTATACAGCGGCGATATAAAACCCCTGGACATGTATACGCTAATGCCATGGAAAACGGCGTTCTCGGAAAATGAAAATCTTGGCATCTTTTCGCCATGCATCCATAGGTCATTGCCATTGATCCCTTCGTTTGCTCATGTTGAGCTGATGATGAAGGTATCCTTGAGAAGAGTTTCAGACTTCTGCCATAAAAAATGTTTGCTGTTATACGC